GTTGTGTTTTCACAGTCATGTCCTGGGCCATGGTGTCATAGTCATGTCCTCACACTGTCATGCTGTCATGTTGTCACATGGGCCTGTTGTGTTCTCACAGTCATGGGGTCACAGTCAAATCCTCACACTGTCCCACTGTTGTGTTTTCACCTGGACCTGTTGTGTTGTCTCAGTCATGTTGTCACACTGTCATGTTGTCACATGGCCTGTTGTGTTTTCACAGTCATGGTGTCCTGGGTCATGGTGTCACAGTCACGTCTTCACACTGTCACACTGTCACACTGTCGTGTTGTGACATGGGCCTATTGTGTTCTCACAGTCATGATGTCCTGGGTCATGATGTCACAGTCATGTCTTCACACTGTCACACTGTCCTGTTGTCACGTGGGTCTGTTGTGTTCTCATAGTCATGATGTCCTGGGTCATGATGTCATAGTCACGTCAACACATCGTCCCACTGTCGTGTTGTCACCTGGGCCTGTTGTATTCTCACAGTCATGGTGTCCTGGGTCATGGGGTCACACCATTCTGTTATATCAAGTGCTTGCTCAAGTGAGAACCTGTTCACACAGTCTTGACAAAGAGTCCTAGTTTTGCTCTCGGTGCTGTGTGAGAAGTGCTCGCGAGGCCACCAGGTACCACGGCTGGGCAGTATCTGTGGCAGCCTGCCAGGCCTGCTGTTGTCTAGAGCTTCCATTGAAGCTGGACATGGTGCCACTAGGTGGCTGCTGACACGGAGCCTTTCTTGATGAGCACAGCAGAGCATCCTGCCATGTGCTCTGAGCCTTGGAAGAGGAATGACGTCGGTGGTTTTTCTCGCTCTCTCTTAGTCACTGTCACAGCTGGAGGGAGGCAGAGGAGGACAGAGGACGGGGGAGGCAGCAAATTAGTGCAATTGTCACAGCAGCCAGGTGCTGGGCCTCGCGTCTAGGCACCCCCATGGGCCTCCCAGCGCCAGCCCTTCTCCTGCTGCTCCTTCGCTGCCTGCACGGCCCACGGCAAATGCCGCCCACACCCAGGCCTGCCCCCACCTGGTTTCCTGTAGAAGGAGCAGGGACGCTCTTTGCATTCGTGGCTAGGTTGGAACCAGCTTCAGGAAAGCGGTGCCCGCCCCCTCAACGCTGAGCTCGACTTTGCCCTGAGGAGCTCTGGCCGAGGGCCCAGGCTGTGTCCACCATGTGTGGCTGCGGCAGCTGGGGGGTCCCGTGTGTGCCGTTTCTTCCCAGGGCTCCAGGAGAACTGCAGTGCTCCTTAATCTCCCTGTCCTCCACTGCTACTGTGCACCCCTCCCCAGGTTGGTGGCAGGAGGGAGGACAGGTGCTGTGGAGGTCACCACCACACAGAAGCCCGAGAGAGCGTGTGCTCGGTTCACAGAGCTCAAAGCTGCCACTCCAAAAATATGTGCGTAAATTTAGAGTAGCCTCCGTAGATAAAACGCCTTATGCAATTTATACAGGAGATGCTGCAGGTTCCGCTTTTCTGGGAGATTAAAATAAGGTGCATACCTTGTGCCGGAAGACACCGGCCAGGCTTGTGCTGTCCGCATCTGGAGCTTGGGGAAAGTGCCGGTCCTCATGGGGGCTGTGTGTGCTGCAGGGTCAGCTTCACGCACACAGCATCATCAGGCAGGTTTCTCCATCTGTGTCCATCAGCATAGATCAGCGTGGTCTTCTCCTAATTTAAATGAGACTGCGCCAATGATGATGAATCCACAGTGTATGGAGTTTAATTCTCTGTATTGTGAATATTTTCTTAATGGGTGTTACTTGGGGAAGAATTCTTGGAAAAGGTCCTTGGTGCTGTTAGTGAGCCTGCTGTGTTTTCAGCTTGCTGGGTGATTTTAAGCACATGCTTCCCTGGTCCGTGCAGTTCCCTCCGGCAAAGCCCAGTCCTGGCAGCACACTGCACGCCTGCAAATGTGATGAAGATGAACTCTGCAGGGAAACCCTTGGATCTTGGTCAGTTTTGATGCACATTTTGGTTCACGTTGACCAAGAGGTGCAGAAGCAAAGTCCCTGATCCACATCTGAGTGAGCCACCCCGTGCGTGAGGCTTCCAGTCCCTCCTGGGGGCCCGGAGTGGGAGGCAGCCATGGCCTGGGGCCCGAGCTGGACCCAGTGTGCCTGCAGGCGCGGCGCTGAGGGCAGGTCACAGATCCCAGCCTCGTGGGTCTCAGTCAGCCCCTCCCTTCCCTGAAATCAGTGCCACCATAGTGAAGTCAGCGTCTGCCCTGCCCTGGGGGGACCCTGGGCTCATCCAGGACTCCATTCTGTCCTGGGGTGTGGCCTGTGATGGGTCCACCAAAGCGTCATAGTCTCCTCCACGTGGGAGGCCAGAGCAGAACCCACAGTTCCTAACACGTGTGTTCACTCTGTGTTCCTGGGTGTCCTGCCAAGGTCTCAGGGCTCACATTTAGAAACTTCTCAATTAAATAAGATGAAGTGGGCTCCTATGTCATGGGACTCCCCAGAGCCTCTCTTTTGGGAGTGATTCTCATGAAGTTACCATGGAGGGTAATCTTCGGCGCATTTCCTTTTGGTTTGGGGAAAATAAAGTGATCTGTGGCCTAAGATGGCTTTTCGCATCTTGATTCTAAAACAGGCTTTCAGGACCTCTTGCTCTTATTTAAAGCAGTGTTTTGTCTGTATGAGTTTGTGGCTTCTTTCCCGGGAGACTCCTGCCTTAGTTCTTCTCAGGAAGAGGGGAGAAGCCCCGTTCGTGTTTCCGGAGGCCGAGTGTGCAGAATTGTTCACTTCTGGTTTCCAGCTTCCCTGCTCCGTGCAGTTCATGCCAGCAAAGCCCGGTCCTGGCAGCACACTGCACGCCTGCAAAGCCTGCTCCTGGCCTCTCCTCCGTGGCCTCACGCCCCGGCCGTCTCATCAGCCTCTCCTGCCCGGCACTGTGTGTGTGTGCATAGGGGCCCAGTCGTGCTCACGCCTCCTGCAGCTGGATGCCAGTACAGGGAGTCTCGCCCTAGAACCTGAAGGGAAACTGAGTCACCAGGCCCTCCATTCCTACTTTCTGCAGAATGTGTGAAGGGGTGGTGCCTGCGTTTCTGGGTTAACTAAACCTTACGTCTGCTTCAGTGATGGCAGTGATGGGACGGCCCCAGCCTGCGCTGGCTGCCCGTGTGCCCTTGGTGACAGGAGCCCCTGCATCCTCCACAGGCTTTGTTGGTGGTGGTGGCCAGGACGGAGGTAGCCCTGTGCGTGGACCAGTATCTGGCCCATTTCTCTCACACAGAGCCGTGTGGCCCTGGGCCCAGGGCTCCTGTGTCCGAGGGCTGCTCCTTTAGGTCTTCCCTGCAGCCCCCAAAGTCTTCTCTCCCCTCCGCTACACCGGTGCCCCTGAAGGCAGGTGCGGCCAGAAGTGTCCGCTTGAGGAGTGTGGCTCTGTCTTCCTGAAGTTGGGAGAGCTCAGTCAGTCATAGTTTTAAATGATGGTTCATATTCTTTTCTTTCCACCAGAACCCTCTACCACTCTCCCACAGAGCTAGACCTGCCGCAAACACATGGGCCCGGTGTGGGCTCTGTCCCCACCCACCCAGCCCAGCCACCAAGGTGACCTTCCGAAGGAACCATGAGACCCTGTGAGGCTCTGCCCCAAAAACCACTTTTGCTTCCTAACTTTTATTTTGAAAACCTCAACCCCTTTTGCAACATTCCGTTCCCTCCCGAACGCCCCTCACTCACCTCCCCACTTCCCCATCTCCCCCGTCTGTCCCTCCGGGCAGATGCTGCTGCCGTCCCCTGCCTGCTGGCCTCGTTCGTGCCTTTCCTGGGACGTGTGTGCTCCCTCCCCAGATTCCCATTTAAAATCCTGCTTGTCCTTCGGGGTTCAGCCCCGATGGCATCACGTGGCATCTCCTCTGTGGGCCCAGCTGTCACCTGGATGGCAGAGGGTGCGCCTCTGTGGCTGGCATGGAGGAGTCGGTGTCTTCCAGGGGGCCCATGCAGGCAGCACTGTCCCCATGGCCTTGATAGCTGATACATGTACTCCTACATCCCTCCCACCCCTGTGGCCTCAGGAGCCTCGACACTGGTTCAGGGCTAGGGGGTTAGGTTACCTGTTCACACGTTCTCAGGAGACTGGATGGTAGCTGGCTTTGAACCCAGGCCTACCTCGTCTCCAAGTCTGAATTCTTTCCCACAAAGCCCTTGTGCCTGTGTTGATGATACACTTGCTACGGCTCTCCTGTGTGAGGATAAATTGTAAATGCCATGCTCCCAAAGCATCTGCGTCTGTCCTACAGACAGAGCCAAATTCACAGTCACTCATGGACCTTCTTAAAGAGGACTCAGTCAGTACCCATGGATTCTAGAGTTTTTCTGAAATCTAGTAATACCCTTTTGCTCATAAATTTTGTGCCTGAAAGGAGTTGTAACAGCTGTAGCCGAAGTCGAGGTTTCAATATTGAAATTGTGATAAAATACGCCATCCTTGTTTCATCTAAGTAATTTGTGTTTAGCCATATACAATTAAGAAAGTATGTTTGCTGTGTGCATATGACAGAGGTCGTTATTACCAAGCTCTCACTCCTAGGTGGGAGCTGAACAGTGAGAACACATGGACACAGGGAGGGGAACATCACACACCAGGGCCTGTTGGGGGGTGGGAGCAAGGGGAGGAAGAGCATTAGGACAAATACCTACTGCATGCAGGGGTTAAAACCCAGATGACAGGTTGGCAGGTGCAGCACACCACCATGGCACACGTATACCCATGTAACAAACCTGCACGTCCTGCACATGTATCTCAGAACATTTTTTAAATTCTCAAAAATAAAAATAAAATTGTAAAACATGTGCCAAGGGTAGTTGTTAAAAGAGCAGTTGCTGGCGTGCAGGGGTAGAGCCGGCTGACCTGGAGGAGCCAGCGGCACGGCCTGGCCACGTTGTCCCAAAGTTGCAGTTTCGTTGTTGCTGCCGCTGCTGTTGAATCTTTTTAACTGCATGGTTGAGACCCCTGGTGTAACAGCTTCTCTCTGTCTCTGTTTTCAGAGTCGCAGTGCACGCTCTGCGGGGAGCCGGAAGGTGAGTACCTGACATGCTGCCTGGGGTGGGCGGGGCCACGCGGCTCACAGATATCTGGCTGGTGACAATCTGGCGTGAAGCGTGTTGGAGAGAACCTCGAATGTGGTGGACATGTTCTGTGTGCTGTTTGATATGAACGTGAACAACATAATTGAAGCAAAGGGCAGGGTGGGTGTTAGGAATGAGCAGCTCATCTCTGAAGAAGAATTGGCATTACCATCAAGCTGAGATATTTTCTTCATTATTGTTTTGTTCTGGGTTGATAGGTTTTCTTCAGTTCCTTTGAGATAACAGTTGCTGACACAGGCTTAATGGCTCTGAGTGCCTTCACCCAAGGTGCCGATGGGCCACGGGCTGAGTGGGGCTGGGGAGCCCTTTCCGCAGTGGGCGGCTCAGCCTGAGAATGTGTGGGGTCTTTGCTGTGGCGAGTGATGGTCGCCAGTGTGTCATTATTTAACTTTCAGCCCAAGTCTCATGTTTAGAGCACATGGCAAAGTGGGGCTCCTGAGCCTGTGATTTGTTGACTGTGTTGGGAATTAGTGAAAGCAGCATTTATGTGATATTTTCCAATGGTCTAATTAGAGAGAATAAGGAGAATGTATAAACACCTGACCCTTTTAATGGGGACTCTGAATTAACCAGAGCTTTGATTTTGAGGCCTGCTTTCAGTAGAAAGAGGCCAACTGGCTAGAAAACGAGTCAGCCTCAGGAACTCGGGACGCTGCCAACCCCAGGAACATGCCTTTGGGTCAGGGCCCAGCCCAGCTCTGCTCCCGCCTGGTGAGATGATGCCAAAAGGGAAAGGCTTCTGTACACTCAGGGCCTCAGAAGCCCAATCACGTCCCCTGGAAAGGCTCTTCCCCGCAAGTTAAAAAATACAAAGTGAATACGGGTTAACTCGGAACTTCTATCAAAGACTCAGTTTCCATCATTTGGTTGTTAATAGAGGTATAACAGAGTTTTAAAACCTTTTCCTATGTCATTCAGTAGGCATACAATGCATAGATGTGTTCATGGGAAAGTCAGTGACTGTACATTTTAAAATCTTAAGCTTCAGCTTTATCCAAAACATCAGACGTTGGACCCCTGGCATTTCCAGAGTCAAAAGTAATGTGACGGTTTAGAATCAGGCAGGTGGGGGCTGTTCCTGGGTGGAGCCTGGGATGCTGGTCTGGGTGTGGCACTGGCCACCTGATGTGGGGAAGCCATGGGTCCTTCTCCTGCAGACACCCAGGCTGCTGCACAGGCTGATGAAATTCTCCAGCCTGTCTGTGGGCGTTTGAGTTCTATTATTTCTTATCATTGTAACTTCCGTTGCCATTCCCACCATGGAATCGTGTATCATGCTTTGCCTTCCTTTTTCATTCTCTTTTCCCCCAGGCCCATATCCAGACTTTTGTGTGTGAGAGAAATTGTGAAATATAAAACCTTGTATACAGTGGCTTAAACACATGCATCACACTTTTCATCTCCTTGTTTCTAACAAAAAATGTCTACCTCTGCCAAGGACAGTGGCCACGTGGGGTGTGTTTTGTGGTCACGTGCCACTTGGTGCTGCCATGGAAAGAAAAGCTTGGTCCCAAAACGTCAGAATCAATCATGTTTGAGGCGAGGGTTTGGACTGAAGGAAGGCTGGTAAATCAGCCCGGAGTCCTGGCTCTGGGGTGGATACTGGATGATTTCTGGGAACATACGAGGTCGTGGGATTGACTCTAGAAGGGACCCTGGCTCCCCCAGGCTGCCATAAGACTACCATAGTTGTCTGGGACATGGGGAAGTGGGCTGCTCCCTGGAGGCACTCCAGCCCAGGTCTGTGGCTTCTCAGGCCTAGCACCATCGGATGATGTCAGACCAGAGCACGCAGCCAGACAGTCCCAGGGCACCTCCCCTGGTCACCATGGGGTCCCGGACAATCCCAGGGCACCTCCCCTGGTCACCGCGGGGTCCCGGACAATCCCAGGGCACCTCCCCTCATTGCCACGTGGTCCCGGACAATCCCAGGGCACCTCCCCTCGTCGCCACGTTGTCCGGGACAATCAATCCTGGGGCACCTCCCCTGTCACCTGCATTTGCTGGGCCTCCACATCGAACATCCTGTCCGGTCACAGCGAATGTGTGACAGTGGCATGAGAAGGGAAGAAACGTGTGGGCTGCTGCTCTCCAGGGCAGGTCAGCTTCCAGATGTTTAAAACCAGACAGACTCGCTCCAATGAGAACAGTTCCCCATCCGGCCAAGGGTGAGGGTGGAGGCAGGCTGGGCACTGGGGGTCGGGGCTCGCTGCTCTGGCCTGTCCCTCCCCACTGGGATGCGGTTCTCTGAAGCTGCCCGGGGCTTTCAGATGTGCAAGTGAGGTTGCTCCAGATTAGGGAGGAGGAAGTGCCCATGGAGAGGTCTCAGCTGTGCTTTAGTTTCCCAAAGCGCTGACATATGAATATTCATACATTTTTCAAATCATTTAAGTAATTAGTCTAAGCGAGTGCTGGCTGGGCACAGAAAGTGAATCTGAAATCAGCTTCTTTGTTCGATGATTTCTTCGGCAGCTTCTGTGAGTTAACTCATAAATGTCATGGCACAGAAATGACCAGCCACAGGCTGGCGGCGGCGCGTGCGGCTTGGAGGTGGGCGTGCAGTGCTCAATACATCCAGAAGGTTGAGGCACCACCTCATGTAGCTTCTCTCTTTCTTGTCAGAAAGCTGTTAACAGCCTGCCACGGCTAAGCCAGTGAAGTGGGAAATACCTATTTGCATGTTAATGATGAGTTCTTTTGGTGAGAGCTAGTTCTTTGGATACCGATTGAATAATTAGCCTGGTGGCAGATGATAATATCTGTCAAACACCCGCGACCAGGGACAAAGTTTACAAGATGCTAGAGACCTCAGAATTCTACAGTTGGGGAATCTGTATAATGGTGGCCTGTTTTTCAGAGAAATTAAAATTTTAATTGTATATATAATGTAGATCATCATCTCGATATGCAAATTACTTACATGTTCTGCATTGCAAGGTTTTGAAACTTGTAGGACTATGTTTTCATGAGATAAAAATATTTGACATATTGATTGTTATTCATTGATACCTTTCTTCCAACCAACAGTATACAGACAGCCCAACTCTAAACCCTGCAAATGCACCATAGTGTGAACATGGAGACGCGTTTTGGTTAACAAGGGTCTCCATGCCATTCACAGGAATGTAGTTTCTGCAGGGAGACCTCTAATAATAACAGTAAATTTACTAAGAATAATCTCAGTTGTCATAATAATTTGCCAATTGAATACTAAAACTGTCTTAATATGTATAATTTTCTTTTTCTTTTTTTTTTTTTTTTTTTTTGAGATTGAGTTTTACTCTTGTTGCCCAGGTTGGAGTGCAGTGTCGCAATCTCCGCTCAATGCAACTTCCGCCTCCTGGGTTCAAGCAATTTTCCTGCCTCAGCCTCCTGAGTAGCTGGGATTACAGACGTGTACCACCACACCCATCTAATTTTGTATTTTAGTAGAGATGTGGTGTCTGCGTGTTGGTCAAGCTGTCTCCAACTCCTGACCTCAGGTGATCTGCCTGCCTCAGCCTCCCAAAGTGCTGGAATTACAGGCGTGAGCCACCACGCCCAGCCTCAATTTGTATAATTTTCTTAGTGATTCCTGTTACCTTTTAGATAAAAGTAGTAAGCAGATGCTATGTAACAATAAGAGGGCATGCTGGTTTATCTTGACATAGAAATCTGTGTATGATATAAATCTGTCAATTTAATATAGGACAGTAATTTAAGAGTACATGATTCTTTTTAAACTTTATTGACAGATACATGATACCACTTGTTTTCAACAATAACGCAGGGAAAATTACGGACATTGGGCGGGTCCACAGATGTCAGTTCATGGATTTGTCTGTTGGTTTACGTTTTTATGGCTTGATTTGTCACCATAGCAAATAGATTTTCCGATGTGGGAAGACAGATAATGATGCCCGGCAGGGCTGGGAGAACGTATTTGAAATCCACTGCAATGTAATAACAATGTCTCAGATCTGTGTTGTTTGCCCCCGTTAAAACTGAGAAATAAAATAAGCTATTAATATTATTATAGAGACGTGGCATGAGAGAACGCTACAAAAATGTTGGGATACATGGACATGGAAGATGCTTTAGCAATAGAGGCCTTAAGGTGGGAGCTTTAAGAAGCAGTAGATGATTTGTGATGGCAGAAATGTATAGTGGATTGTTTGAGCAATGTAGAAATTCCCATCTAAAAGCAAAATTCAAGTCTTAAAAAATATCTAAGTAGTTTAAGGTAAGAGATTTTCTTTCTAAATCTGTTTTCATTTTTGTTTTTACTTTGTTTATTGGAAAGCGCAGTCTGCAGGCTGCCCTTGGAATTCTGGGAAGACACATAGAATCTCACATTTTATCACAACCAGAAGGGACCCAGAACACCTCTTCTTCCCTTCATCACTCACAGTCAAGATAGCGGGGAAGTTTAGCATTAAGTAATATTTTCCCTATAAGTGACTCAAAACATTGAAGTCACTTTAGTGGTTTTTTGTTTTTAACCTTAATTGAATATGTGTCTTTTTGACATTTGAAGACCTCCTAACAATTCTGGAGATAAAAAATGATAGTGCTGCTTCTTGAAAACTGGACATTGAAGGGCTTAGAAAGCACCCCCTGCCCTGTTCCCTGCTCTGTGGAGAGGAAGAACACCAGCTTTTCAGAGAGAGCTACCACTCTGTTTCTCTGAGACCATACCTTTTTAGTTGAATCCTTTGTATAAAAATGATCTTTTCTGATTGCTATTTGTGTTTTTTAGTGATTATTGTTGCTTAAGAACTAAAAAGTTCAATTAATATTTGAAGGAAAACAGACTCAGCTCCAGCCAGTCTGTCTTCTAGGACCTTAACATGGTTAGGGTTTTAGAAATCAGAAAACAGTCTCTAGGGTAAGAGAGAGAATACTGCTTCTTGGTTGCCCCAGATGGAAGACTGAGTTGAGCCCTGTCCCAT